AGGAAGTAATCTCACAGAGACAGTTTTATTTAAATGCTGTGACATTCTGTACAGAATAAAAACCTATCCAGGGCTTCAGTACAGTGAGAATTCAGTGACAGGGAAGTTAGGGAAAACACCTGATAAAGCCATTTTCAGTGAAATTACAACACACTATAGTCAGCTGGGTCTTGTCTAACATCACACACAGGCACCTTCACATCTCCCAGGGGGGCAAGAGGCATGTCACAATATGTGCTACTTTTAATGCCAAGTAACTGCAGTAAACACTCTCGAGGTAAGATCTTTCTCCATTTGGAAGAGCTGTGTAGCTCACTGCGACAGACTTTCAGCACTAGCACCCGAGCCTGAGAGAAAAAAAAAATCTATTAGCACTTTTACTCCAAAAAAAAAAAAAGCCATTTTCCCACTATCCAATCCAAATCTCCCCTGGCACAACTTAGGGCCACTTCTCATCCCACAGCTTCTTAATTGGCAGACTGACTTCAACCACACTACAGGTAATTGTAGAGAGCAAGAAGTTCCTCCCTGAGCCACCTCTTCTCTAGCTTCAACACCTCCAGCTCCCTCAGCTGCTATAAAATAAACTCGTGCTCTAGACCCTTCACCAGCTTAGCTGCCCTCCTCTCAACACACAAGCAGCAACTGTGCTACAAGACTGCTCATACCACAGCCCTTTTGTTCTCTAACCTTCTATGTCAGCTACAAATGTCAGCTGGTTTCAAAGTGAAACTGAGCAGCCTCCTCTACATCAGCATCACAAAAACCCAAGGGCAGAAAATTAACATCCTTTTTCACCTCAAGAGGCTTAAGGACATAAGGTGTATCTCCTCATAAATAGACCATAGCACACACAATGTGTCCACGGCATCCTGTAGAGGATTTCAATTTGCGGTCACCGCGTTAAGAGCTGCTGGTTTTCAGCCACGCAAACCCTCTTTGAAGTGACCTTGAATCTCTTTTTAGTACTAGCCATTTCGGTAAGTGCTCTTACCTTCGCACTTGCTTTGGCAGCATCCAGGTGCAGTTTCTCATCCCTCTGACATGCAGCAACTTGGTAGCAGACACTGGGAGTTAAAGAGTCAGGTTTGGTTAGTGTAAGGAAAGAGTTAACAACACACAAGTTGGATGTAAATTGCACGGAGCAGCCTTTGTCTCCCTTTTTTGCTTTTGTTGAAAAGCATCACCTTCTCAATAGCAGCTCTGGAGTCGAATCTACCATAGTTTCAACCAGAACTTTAAAGGTGCCCAAGGATACCAACCACACCTGGCAGCAACTTCCTCCTAACAGCAAAGGGAGTGTTGTGTCCATTCCATGACCTACACTGAAGCTTTATTCCCAGCAGACTCGGTGCCACATTGTGTGGCAATACAAGAGCCTGATGGACTTGCTTTACGGTCATGTCCACAGCTCACCAGAAACAGTAACATCCCAGCAGCCTTGGTAATGACCAGACACTCCTCTCGCTGCCCTTACTGTGACTTCACTTAGTAATCAAGCTGCCCATCCTTTCCAGTGAAGGACCAATCAATGCTGCCAACATTACACCCAGGTTGTGTACCAATAAGCCTAAAATCTGTTAAAATTTCAAAGTAAAGACGAGATGTACTTGGTTCCTCACAAGCAACAGCAGTCTAAGGCATTAGTAGTACAAACCACTGCACAACTGTGACAGCCATTATACACACACACAAGAATGACTCACAGACAAGTGACCTGCTCAGATATTGCCAAAATCTGGAGTGATCATGACCCAGTAATCTCTGCTACTGGACAACCATTTCTGTACTTCTTTTAAAAACAGTTTACTGAACTTTGAATCATACCAGCTGCATAGTGTGAGACTAGTAACTCAGTGCTTACCCATAAAACGTGTTGCTTTCATCTTCCACAGCTCATCTTTTAACACAGGGAGGCTCACTTTGTTCAGTATCCTAAAGCACCTGTTAGAAAGTAGAAAGTGAATGTACTTGCCGAGTTCCAGAGGCCAATACCCAGCTCTCACACTGGAACATGGAAATAAAACACAAGTACACTCAAATCACTGAAGAGGTCAAAGACTGTTTCAAAAGAAATAGCAGGTTTAACAGACACAGGGGAACAAAAACCAGTGATGCCAAACACTGCACTGCTGTAGCAGAGCTTGTTGAACACCTTATCAGGACAGTGCTGCTGGGTGGAAATGCCATACAGAGCAACAGCTGCATTTCTCCATCCACAAACAGCTCATTTTAACATTCACCCTTCTTCCATGCACCAGTTAGTGTCTGGGAATAAGAGGTACTCTTCATTTCACAAAAGCTGCCATGCAACGGGAGAGGGGAAAACAAGACTTCATGAATGTTCCTTTCACTCGAACAGCAGCTGCTCAGTGTGAAACTGGAGCATCTCTTGACACAAAGCAGAAATGCAGTAAGTTACTTCAAGACAGACATCACACCGCTGTCTCTTCTTGCCTACTGCTACCATGAGAATAATTACTCCGTGACTGAAGGGGCAATTGACTGCTTCAAGTCATCCAGAACACTCAAGCAGCAAAATATAGTGTTAAGTCAGGTATCTACACAAAAACCTAGGTGAAGAATAAGTTCAGCCCGTGTAATTCAGTATGTTAGTTGCACCTGAAGTCCCAGAACACTCTGTATTTTGACTCTTACCAAGCTCTTCCACTTGAATCACTTTTTTCATTTGTTACAAAGCATGTCACAGTACACCTAAAGGAGAACAAGGTGCATTATTACAGTTCCTGGGATGCTACATGAATATGTCTTGCAGTTTTATCCCACAGAGCTAACAGGTAGTTCAGTGGGTAAAGCGAAACCACAAGTTTATTCTGTGAGGCATTTCCAACGACATGAACCTACAGAGAAGATCCTATCGGGATAGACCTCAGCATTCCTAGTACTATATATAAACACGACAGGAAAAAAAAATCAAGAAGACCAGAAACATACCTGGTATATATTCCGCTAAGTGTCTTTTAAAAGTTGTTTCAAGGTACTTTGGGGAAGGAGAAGGGTAAATTATTTCAACAGCTGGCATCTGGAGAAGGTGAAGTAACTCCTTCATATTAGCAACATTTTTAACACTAAAAGGTAGTTACCTGAAAAGCAAACATCAAAGGCAGTTAACTACAAATATGTACAGAATCCTCCCTATAAATGCACTGTGCAGTGCAACTCACTTGTCCAAGCAAAACTGTCAGTTTAAGCAGTTAACCCGATCACCTCCTTTCTGAACGAGAAATTTGTATGAATGCTTTTTAGGCAAATCAAAGTTACAATAAATTGTTCGCCTAACAGAGGGAATGCTACATTAAAATACAGTAATGCAGTGTTGAAACCAGTTCACTAAACATTCCCAAAACAGTAAACTAGGTTTGATAAGACTTCCAGGCACCAGAGTCCTTCAGTCATTAAGGACAGTCATTGCAAAACTTCTTATGTCATACTAACCCTAGACAGAGCTTGAGACTTCTGTGAAATGGCATCCTGCATTTCTTCTCTTATTTTCTCTAAATACAAGCCACCTGAAAAAGCAAAGTAATGTTACAAACCAGCATGTTTGTGCTTACAAATCAGCAGAACCTACATCAGTACTTAGTATGTAAGTGGTTCATTCTAACTACCACAAGCATTACTGAGAGCCTCTATTTGCAATCACATTTCAAGCTACTACAGTGTCTGAATATTATCCTATTTGACAGCTCCTTGTAATTTCCTGTTTATTTTTAAAACAAAGTCACAGTCATGATCTTTCCTCACTGAGACAAGACACTTGCATGTACAAATAAAGTGACATGAAAAGGACACTCCTGTAGTAATTTGTTCAGAAAGGCCATTCTCACTCACTCTCTTCAGAGCAGTTGAACATTTTGCCAATCATCACAACAATTTTCTCACAGCATTCTCAAGTTTGGGGTTAGATAAACTCGTATTTTCTGAAACAACACTGCATTTTCTCAGTAAGAAAAGAACAGCACTACAACCAGCTCACCGAGTAAAAGACAGGTAGCTGACCTGCAACAGGCAAGTGTTAAAAACCAGTCACACACACTTACCAAGATGGTAGTTCAGACTGGACTATCACGTGGACTTCCTAAAACAAAGTAAATTGTTGCATCTGATCAATACAGCCAAGAACCTTTAGCACTTCAGTAATTTGTTAGCCCCTGGGTACTCTTATACTCAATATAAAGCAGGTAGACTGTGGTCCAGTTACACTGACAGAATAGAATGCTAATGACAAAGCCAAGCATTTCAATTGAAATCAAAGCCATGGCCCCATTTACCACACAACTACCAACAAGGTCTATCTGCAGTTTAAGAAAGTGGAACACTACGGCAACACAAGGCACAGCTAAGGGAGTTACCTCACAAAGAAAACACGTGGGGACACCATCTTAAAACAGCTTAAAAATATGCTCTAATAAACCACATACAAGAATTCATCACTGCAAGTATGTTTTTCCCTCTACCTGCTGATTCTACTTCCTTTAGTAGGTAGGATGCAGAATTCAAGCACATCAAAACAAATGAATTTTCAGATTTTACAGTACCTGCATTAAGTACGTTTGCAGAACTGTCCCACTACGTAAACTGTTACAGGTCTCATTGTCACCACTGCAATTAACTTTACAGTGAGGAAAGCATAACCTGTTACTCTTCTAGCCACGTTTTTCAATTCAGACACATAGCAGGTTGTGCCCATTTGCTGAAGAACAAGGCATAACAACTCCACAGTGTCTGTGGAATAGACTACTTAAGACTTGAGCTTTTATGATCCTCATCCAAATACTTCCACCAAGAAAAAAGCCAACTATTTCCTTAATACTTACACTTAAGCAGAGGCTTTCCACTGTGTTCCAGACATCGCAGGAAGGCCCCTTGAAGAAGAAATATTTTGGAACAAAGTCACTTATTTAACTATAAGCTCATCCCGTAACAGTTTAACAGTTTTTCAATGTATCTGACAAGCTTCCCAGTTTGGAAACACTAAATCTACTTGTTTCAACAGAAATACCAAGCTTAACAAGCACATCTGCATGAAAACCAACGATGCCAGCTGTTGAACTACTGTAGCACTGCTTTTTGAACACCCCATCAGGAAGACACTGCTGGGTGCAGATACCATACAGTGCACAAATTAGTCCGATTAACTTGCTGTGGAAACAGCATGTCTGAAAAAATCCAAGACTCTTATGCTGAAGCTCAAATGAAACTCAAAGCTTACCTCTTTCACTCACTACCATGTTGTACAGAAATCCACTGAACTGACAGATTTGTGAATCAGTGGGCCAGCAAACAGCCATAATACATGCTTCCCAAAAAATTAAATCTGTTCACTGCTGTAGCATTGGTGTTCTCACCTGCAAAGAAAGAGATACAACTGAGCTACACTTCTACAAATCTGGAACATTAAACTCATGCTCAAGATTGATCAGTGGAGTTTATGCAAATATTGTCCCTTCATATACGTAACACAGCTAATATGTTCATCAGCTGTGGGTTGCAAAAGAAGGGTTTTTTCTAAGCACTAGGTTCCAGGTTTTTGCCTACAGCAACAGACAAAACCTGATCAAGTGCTAGAACAGATTGAATTTTTTTTTAAACAGCATCTGAAACTATTTCCCAATTCACTGTATACTTACTGTTAAGAAGTGTCACCTTCCACTACTACTGTGTTTTCTCATTCTAAAGACAGGTAGGTTGAACCAAAAAGCAACTGTGGCAAGGAGTTCAGTATCAGACATGCCGTCCTAAGAACAATCTGCTGTGTTAAACTGGTATGTTACTCAGCACAGTACTCCCAACTACACCACTGGCCAAGTAAGATGCCCTGTTCCTACCTTTAACTAAAGAATGTTCTTGTAAGGTTTTATTACTTGAACACCTTTAGCTCAGGGCTTCCCATGTTACAGGTGTTTTCTTGCGCAGTAACCTTACATGGTGCTTTCTTCCATGCTATTTCCTACACTACCCTGAAGCCACACAAACCTGGTAACATCCTACAGTAAGCAGCTTTCACAGCTATGTACATGCAAGACTACCAGCTCCTCTCTGCTGTCCCTGGTTCTTGCATGGGACATGATTTAAGATGGAATTTTACCACAGGGAAGCCATCAGAAGCTGCAGCTGTATGATACACCCTGGTACAGAAGGCGTGCGTGAGGCACCACAACGGGACTAAAGTAGTTCCTCAGCATCTTCAGCAGAGACAATCCCAGGCAGTATTGGTCCAAAACAGATAAAATTGCCCTGCAGCATTCAACATCAGGTAAAAACGAAGCATTTCTACACATAACTTTTAACAAAAACTGCACTTAAGAGATATTCAAGACCTCAAGTTTTTGTTTTCATTCCAAGAGACCACAGACTAATTTTGTTCAGATTGGTGAAAGAGATGTTGCATTGAAGTCTAGACCTTGGAAATTTCACACACAAAAGCTGCACAGCTGTGAAGAGCTGTAGTGCATTAACTTTAAATATGGAGCGCTGTTTTTTCAAAACCTCTTGTGAAGTAAAGCAAAAAAGCTACCTGAAGTAAACAAAACTGAAACCAACAGCTTACCTTGTGCAGCACGAAAACTGAGTAGTATTTTATCTTCAAAAATGTCAAATGTCAAAAGTGACATAAACTGGAAGAAAAAGCAAAGTAATAAGAACTGTCATATACGGTTAGGTAAACTCAAAGCTAGGTTTCAGCAATCAATGTAACAGTTGTAATAAGCTTGATTTGCATGTGTACTTATCCAGTTCTAATCAGAATTGAAATTTAGTTCATTTCTGAGTCACTCAGCAGTTGAACAACAAAATTCATCACATGAACTGCAGAATGAGCAGGACTCTACATACCCCCTTCACTATGCCTTACCAAGCAAGAACCCCACTCCTAGATCCAGGATGAGTCTTTCAACCCATTGAGTATTTCTCAAGTGGATGCCTAAAAGAGGTGGCCATTAATTTTGGACTAATATGAAATGTGATCTTCAAATACTGAAGAGTAATTTTGCAGTCCTAGACCTACCAAGTTGTAATTGGGAAACCTCCTTTACAAAGGTTTGGGACCTTAGTTCAAGCTCGTAAATAATACAGCTTGACTTGCTCTCAGTACTGAGCACCTACTGCCAATCTCCTCAGACTGCCATTAAACCAGTAGATAAAACCTTTCCTGGGCAACATCCATGTTCAGAACAGACTACTTCTACCTGCTGAACAGCTATAGCTTGCTGACAGCAATTTGGTTAAGAACATCTGAGGCAGGCAGATGACTGTTTGACCTCTAAATCTTGTTCATTGACAAGGAAATTTTTTAAACTTTTTTTTATATATTTTCAGCTACTACAACACACAGTAGGACTTGGCTGTATTCAAACCATTTCTCAGTGCTTACTGGTCAGGTTTCCTACTGACTAAAACACCTTCAAGAAAGTTATTTTCAGCTGGGGCAATGCCTGTTAAGAACTATAATTATGAAAAGCTTTTATCTTCTGAAGCTAAGTCATGTTCACATCAGAACCCATTCTGGGCAGCAGAGGGCAAGAGGGGAAAAAGAGTTTTTAACCCAAGATTCACTATGCTGCTACAATTATCTTAAAGATAACTTACAACTTCAGATTATTGTATTAGATTCAGGAGCAGAGAAACAGTTTTCTAAAAAGTTATTCCACATGGAATAGACAACCTTAATCATACAAAATCGATATCATCATTTGAATACATTAACCATATTTTTCAACAGACTTCTGTTGAAGTTGGCCAATCACTTCTGCGTTTTTGTTGTTGGCACTTGTTTGCATAAAGCTTCAATTCTGTCTTCAACCTCTTAACTCTGTAAGTATTTCAAACCTGCACCTCTAAGACACAGACCACTCACAAGCAAGTCAGCTATGAAAACTCAAGAAAGGCATTTAAACTGCCCTTTTAACTTGAGCATATAGGTGTATGCATCCAAATGCATACTATTCTATACTGTGCTGCTGCTACGTTACAATATTTGGAACTTGGCTGCCCAATTAATTACATAAATTCCATGATCCACTGGTTAACAGAGTTCAAGCTGCAGAAGCCAGAACTTCAGCAAGATTATCAGCTACTGAACCAAGGACGTTATAGTCCTGATAGAGAACAGCACAGAACATACTTAAAAGCTTAACAAAACAACAGATTATACTTGCTTTGTAACTGTCTTAGACACAAGGCCAATATACTCACAGGACACCAGATGTGACTGGGTAGCTTGGTGGATAGCTTAACATTGACTTCAGACCAATGCTTTAAAGGAAGCAGGCCATGAAAAATGACCAATGACACCTCATTTGTCCATCTGCTGTTCACAGAGGTGAACCTTGCACAGGCACAGAGTTCTCCCCAGCACTGTCTTCGTCATCCTCTATTTCAATCACTTCAGTTGATTTTGCACGTTTTGTTTCTGGCTTTGATTTTTTCTTACTGGGAATTGTGCTGCTTAAAATGAAAGAGCTGTTCTCCTAAGAAAACGGAAGACAAGTATTCACGTGTCTGGTTTTGAGATACTTAAAATACAAGGGTTTAGTAATAAATTTGTAAACTTCAGTAACTCTTGAGAGAACTGCAGAATTCCTATACATTCCAGCATTTTATTTAAGAGGAGAGTGTAGAGTCTCAAAATAACCTCCTTCTCCATTACAGACTGAGACTCACAGGTATCACATAGTTAACTCTGGATGTAAGCTTATTATCTACTAATTCCTTAGCTTTAGCAGAGAAAGGTTAGAGAGTTTCTGAAGTTAATTATTACTTACCACTACTCTGGCATCATACTGCTCTTGATTATGAGAATTCAAGCCATCTTCATCATCACTGAAATATAAAAGATTCAAATCAAACTGTACTTTTATAGTAGCTTAAAATGTGTAAACTATTTTCCTACTACAAGCCCTGGTTGCTCTTAGTGTGTTCTAAAGTACTACAGCTTGTAGGTTTAACAATACTTCTAAATAAAGTCATTCTCAAATGACGGTTTTTGACAGCAGAATGACATCCTAACTTATAACAGTGGCAGGACAGAAGGAGTGCTTAGGAGTAGAACAAAGATTTAGCAGCAAATATCAACAGCAGTATTAAGATTATTTGGATTACACTGCCAAAAAGGCTAGAAAGCCAGCAACTTGGAAAGGAAGCAGAATGTAATCACAAGCAAGGACGTAAGAGGATAAGCCTCAGCTAATAAGGGTATACAGCTTTCTTTCTGATATTGTAAAAAAAGTTTCTCTATAGTGCCATGAAACTCCAGTATGAACTTAATTCCACTCTCATCCACAAGTTTTCTCTCAAAATAGAAAGGACTCCCCAAAGAGGTGAAATCATTATAGAACTGTTGTTTCACTAAGAGGCACAGGGAGGACTGGTTCCAGAACCTAGAAAGTATTCCGGTACTCCTTTGATATAAATAACTGAGTGTCTGGATGAGTTGGCTTTTATTCTACAGAGATTTGTTTCTTCTGCTCTTTTGTACAAAAGCAAACAAATCATTATTACTCATTCTACAGGCTCACCCTAATACTTTGACTCACACTAATTAGCAGTGTGAAGTGACTGCTAAAATGAAGAGTAGCTAAAAGACAGCTTCATATCTTTACACTGACTTTTTAACTTTTTAGTTTTAGTGTTGAGTATATTTACAACAGTAAGTATTCTTGCTGATATACTGATTTTTTTACTGCACTAGGATAACTGCTTGACCATAAAGATCTAAGATGACACTTCAATATTTAATAATGTAAAAAGGAAATTAAAAATTATTCTGTAGTCTTTGCTATAGAACACTCCCATTTATTTGAGGTAGCTATTGAGGAATTAATTTTAGGAAGTACTTTTTTTAAATTTATACCATATCATTTTAATCAGACAGTAAAAGTCACCAGAACAACCATCAATCTCCAGATCAGATGAGAAGTATTTCCTTCTATGAGAACTTTCAAGTCACATTTACAAACACAAAACCCCAAGTGGCAGTGTTTTGTTCCCGAAATAAACAATGCTTTCATAGGTTAAAAGGACAGGAAAAGAACTGAATTTGATACACCTACAACTCTGTCACAGAATCACACGCTACTACAAGCAACTGTACTACCTCTCAAATTCCTGAACTGTGAAAAGTGGCAGATTGTATTGGTCTGGAGTTAGGTCAGCTCTCCTCACAGCACCCTATGCCATGTTTTTTTTGGATTTGTGACTAAGTGCTGAAGCCCTAACCACGTCAGCAAACAGTCTGGGGGTAGTGCAGGCTGTCATGCATCTACTTGTACACACACGTTTATATTTTAGTCAAGAATGGAAGTTTTATACCATCTAAAAATATAAAGACCAACTTACTTTGTCTCCCGAATAGGGGAAATGGGGCCTTCGTCATCTAGGTATTTGTGTTTCCGTACCACCACACATTCTTTTTCTAAGTCTTCACTAGCCTGAAGGGTTTTTAAAGCTTTTTTAAGATGTTCTTCGTATTTAAGCACTTCAATGTACTTGAAATATCCCTTTGCAGCTGCTTGCTGAAAACAGAAATTTACCAGGTAAGATCTTACAAACACCATTAAAAGCATTTATATTATGAACTGAATGTGCAATATTACATTGACACCTATATAAAAATTCTTTCTTTGCCTTAGAAGGGTATAAGACAACATTAAATGTCCTGTTAAACAGAAATAAAACCTGTTTAACTGTTACATTCAAGCACATCAGACAGAAGCACAACACAGCCAACCTACTAAAATAGTAATACACTTATCTCACAAAAGAAGACTTACCTCATAGCCAAGAACCATCTTTAATGGAATATGTTTCACCCCATAATGTTTTTCGACAAAAGGGAACTGAAAACCTCTGTCCAGCAGCCTCCTCTTTTGCTCCTGAGGTGAGGCTGTCAGTGGTGGCCTCCCTGTGGGCATCCTTGTGCCCTCATCCCTTTTCTTCTTCCTTTTTTTGCCTGAGCCAGCTTTGAATTTTCGGTGTGCAGCTGCTTTAAACTTCCTTCCCCTGAAGTGATAGGCAAAAATGGCTTTCAAACTGAGTTTTGATTTCTGCTGCTTGGAAACTTCTGATGATTTCACTGGACTTTGGGGAGATAGCGAAGAATCTGATGAGCTTTCATTGTCAGGCACTTCTACAACAGATTCAGCTTGTTGCCTCGAAGACTGACACCTTTTTTGCTTTGACGGTGCAATCGAGCACTCAGGACGGCACTCACTGCCATGAGCAACAGAGACATCACTGAAGAAAAAGAAAATATTTACTTTCAAAAGAATGATTACTTTTACGATATATGACACAGGTTCTTCACAAGAAAAATTCTAAACTAGGAGGTAAAAACTCACATTTCAGAATCGCTGCTGATAAGTAAAACCTCAGCTGAAGCAGCTGATGATTCACAGATACTGTTAAGACGATCTGATGATGATTCCCCAGGAGCAGCATTCTTCTGCCTTGACTGTGAACACTCCTTTCTTCTATCTGTCTGCCATGCATACTCCTTAGATGGCTCCTGATGGCCATATATCAGCTCTTGGGCACCACGGTAATCAGAGCCAGAAGCCTGGGGCTCATCTCGATCAGTCATGTTTCAGTTTGCCCTAAAAATCAACGAGAGTTAAAGAAGTTAAAGAAACTGGAGAAAAATATATGTTAATGAGGTAACAAGCTTTCCACTACTCCACTCTTACTCACAGGGTAAACTTAAAACAGTGTCAAGCAAACTTCAGCATGTATTTTCCTATGAACCAGAGGCATATAAATTAAACTTTCAGAGTAACAGTTCAGTCACAGACACTTACTTCAGGATATTCATAGCATAATTTAGGTCAGAAAGAATTTTTACAGCTCTTTTGGTCACCAGTGGAGTTCCCCAGGGTTAAAGATTGGGTATCAAGTGCACCCTCAGTCAGTTTACAGACCACCAAGTTGGGCAGGAAGGATCTGGACAGGATGCCATCTCTGGGCTGAGGCCACCGGTATGAGGTTCAACAAGGCCAAGTGCTGGGTCCTTAATCTGTGTCACAACAACCCCAGGCATTGCTGAAAAACTGCCTCACAGAAAAGGAGCTAGGGGTGCTGATCAACAGCAGCTGAACACGAGCAAGCAGTGTGTCCAGGTGGCCAAGGACATCCTGGCCTGTATGAGCAACAGCGTGGCCAGCAGCACCAGGACAGTCACTGTCCCCCTGTACTTGGCCCTGGTGAGGCCACATCTTGAATCCTGTGCCTGTGTCTGTGCCCCTCATCACAAAACAGACACCGAGGTGCTGGAGCGTGTCCAGAGAAGGGCAACAAAGCTGGTAAAGGATCTGAAACACATATCTTATGAGGAGCAGCTGATGGAGCTGGGGATGCTAGTCTGGAGAAGAGGAGGCTCAGGTGGATCTTCTCACTCTCTATAAGTACCTGAAAGGAGACTGTAGCCAGGTGAGGGTGAGTCTCTTCTCCTAAGTAGTAATAAATGACAGGGCAAGAGAAAATGGCACCAGGTTGCACTGGGGAAGTTTATATCATAGGAACACGCTGCCCAGGAAAGTGGCTAAGTCACCACCCCCAGAGGTGTTCAAATGTATAAATGCAGTGCTTTGGGACTAATGGGTTCATGCTGGACTAGTCAATACTAGGTTAATGTCTAGATGACTTTAAACACCTTTTCAAACCTACAAGACTCTTTGATGTTATGGAAGGTAATTCTGGACAGCAATCTGCACCTATGCCCCAGCCACACTATGCCTTATGTGAGCATACTGATAACAGGGGTTCACCCACGGCCTGACAAACACAATACAGAGACAGAACGGCCCAATATTAGAGCCAGGATGTGTCCAGGCAGCAGTGTCACTCTGACCACACAGGCTGTGGTTGGTACTCACAGATCGTTGTTCAGCATCCTTTGAGGCCTCTCCTGCAGCTCCGTTCTTGACAGATGGCACAGCGCGCAGAGCCCTTAGGGAGAAAAACAACCAGCATCTAAATTTGCTGACTATTATACGGATTCGCAGTATCTCCTCCCAGAATAACCTCAAGGCTGAACGGCGCCGGGCACACCGATCGGCACCCCGCCAGGCTCCACCGCCGGGGCCGGCATTTGGAACTCGGGCCCCCACGGCCGAGGACACTCCGTGGCTCCTCGCACACCGCCGCCACACGCCCCAGCCCTCGGGGGACGACTCAAAACCGCCGGGACTGGCCCCTACCCCCGGGTCCCTCGGCCCTTCGGGTCCCCGCACCGCGGATGGCGGTGGATGCGCCGCGCCCCGACCCACCCCTGCACCGCCGCTGCGCGTAGAGGGCGCGAAATGGCCGCCCCGCGGCTTAAATAGCGCCGGGAGCTCGCGAGAGGCGCGCGGGCCGACGGGAGGCAGGAGGGAAGGGGAGGGAAGGGGAGGGAAGCAAGGAGAGAAACAAGGAGGGGCGGAGGGAGGGAGGGAGGGAAGGAAGGAGGGAAGAAAGGATGGATGGATGGATGCTAGCTAGGCATGGCATCAGGGTGGGCGGTCCCTGGACCGGGGCGGGGCCAGCCGAGCCGAGCCGAGCGGAGCCGAGCCCGGACGGCAGAGCAGGTACGTGCGATCTGTCCGGAGCAGGGATCGGGAAGTTCCCGGCTGCCTTTTCCCGCCTCGCCCGAGACGTCCCGGCTCCCCGCTCGGTGAGAGGCTCTCGTTACTGCTGTCCGGTTTCTCTCCAGGCTCCTCCGAGCTGGCTGCTCCAGCCGAAGCAACCCCTTACTGCCTCTCGCAAGCGAGCCAAGCTTGCTGCCAGCTTTAGCGCTTTCTCGCTCAAGCGCTCCTCTCTGCCTCTGCCTGCCGGGATGCTCTCTCTCCCTAAGATCGCGAGCCTCGGCTGGCACGCCTGTTCCTGTCCCGCAGTGTCCTGTCGCTTCCCCAAATCCCAGCCGCTCAAGCAGCCGCTCTGCTGTCCCGCAGCCTTCCTCTGCCCCGTACGGGATCTCCTCGCATCGCTCCAGCCGAGGAGTACGGCCTCTGCCTCTACACGTTTTGCTCCTCTTGATGTCTTTGCTAAGTTTCTCCTCTCTCACTGACTCCCATCTTCAATTTTTTCTTTCTTCCCTCCCCAATCCCCCTCCCCGACTAATCTCTACCTGCCTCTAACCTCTCCCTTTTGGCTTCAACCCTCCAAACTAGTTTTAATGATAATAGACCCCCCATGCACATCATTAATATAACGGTTCACATTCCATCTGCATTCTCCTGGCACTTAGCTACTCTCTCTGATGCTTTCTTCCTGCTTCAAAGGTAGACTTTCAGTCTTTACATGCTTATTCTCTCCATTCTTGTTGCACTTTCTTTGAAAGTCTTCTATAGTAATTCAGTGACTGTGCACTCCTCTGCGATGGATTTTAATTGTCTGCTGTTGTCTCCTTTCAGGTTCACCCTGTCCCACACCACACAATTCGCTCCTCTGTTAGTGCTTGCAGTGGTGGCTCACGGATCTACTCTTTCGTGTGTTTCCTGGTAAGGACTACTGTCCAGCAATCAGATCGGGTTTTGCTATGGTACAATGCATTTTTCCACAGTCTTTCCGTCGTTTCTTGATTGCAGTGGGCTAACTACTGTCCATACAGTAGGTGATGGTCTAAGTGTTATATCCGAGCGTATTTATTTGAATTGTGTCCAAGTCTTGCCTCTGCCTTTTGCACAACAACAGTTCTAGGTTGTCTGCTCAGTCTCAGGTCAACCAGTGTGTTGAGTGATGGCACAACCTCCTTCTGGATGTGGCAAAAGGTTCCTAAGGGGATAAGGATCATCTAAAACAATGCTGCCAAAGCCATCTTGTCGCTTTCTTTCTCTAGCTAATTACTCCCTTTCTTGGTGCACACTAAAAGCCTTGGGGTGTGATTCATTCCATCTGACAGTAGGCTTTTACCAGAGGCACCAAATCCAACCTGTTACTTTCTCCTCTGCAGCCTGAGGAGGGAAGGAGTCACCTGTGGAGATGGATAAGACCAACTACAGGTTGCAGTTTTTCTTCTTTTCTCTACTGCTTGTTACAGCAGTAATTTGGGGTGGCTGAACGTTTTGCTCAAACACTTTAGTTAGGTGACTCCTATAATCTCCCCACTCTTCTTATTTCTTTTTTTCCTTCACTGTCCTTTTTTTTTTTTTTTTTTCCTTTATACAGTCTTAAGAGGCTGGTGGTATAAGGACAGTTACAATTTTTGACAATCATAAAAGGTGGGATTTTTTAAAAATAGAAGCTAGAACTATACATAAACAGCTAGCTCACACCGTAGTCCTTCCTAACAAAGCCTCTATCATATCTGGGAATGTAGTAAGGATTTTGGCATTTTCCTCCAACACTTGAGATCTAGATAAGTGGGACCCATTTTGTTGGGTTGTTGTGTTTTTTTTGCTGTGCACAACAAGCATGTGCCTAAGGAATTAATAATTGCTATAGTTTAGTTTATAGTGTACAATCAGCTGTTTCTGCCCTGAGCTAGTGGTTTGCCCTAGTTACTCACTTTGCTGTTGCAAGGCTGACTGAAGTACAGTTCATATGTGAAGGCATTCTTAAACGTACGTTCAAACAAAACTTTTTGATACAAGCTCAGTACCCATACAGAGGCAGATGGCGCAGAACTTGCTGCTGTTGTTTTCTATTTTGCTTCTTGTCTTTTCTCTCTGGAAGGGGAAATGCATGCCCAGGGTAAATTGGAGACCATATCACAGCTAGGGTTGAAAGTCCACTGTAGCCAATGCTGGAAAAGTAAACATTAAGGTTGGGAAGGCCTGAGGAGGCAGCTAATGTGTCAGAAAAGCCCAGTTTTCTATCAAAACCAAATTGTGATTCCAGGCTTACAAAGGACACACAAATCTCCTGACCCGTCCCTTGAACTGAATTCAGCATTGGATGTGTTGCCTACATCCAGCTGCAAGCTTGAAGACTAGCATATGTAATGTTCTGAGCCAGCTATAGGTCTGACAAACATGTCTTTCAAAATCTATAGAAACTTTAATGTTACTATTGAAGCCATTAGTTAGTTTTTCCTGATGGCAGAACTACAGTTCTACTGTTTTCTGTGCATTCTTGAGTGAAACTGAAAAATAATTCCCATATTGAAAGGGGACTGTTTTAATTGTTAAACTATTATGCTTGTTGGCAGATCAGTTGCTCCTGCAGCGTGCTGTACTGTAATTTCTTACCTCAAGAAATCAGCAACAGTTAAGAAATGGCCAAAGTCGAAAGGTTTGCTTTTCACGTTCCAAGTCTGGAGGAGCTTGCTGGGGGTAAGTTATGCAGCTTGTAACTTTTTACAAACTTAAAATGTACTCTTCAAACTTACATTAAAGCTCATACCAAAACCTTCCTACAGACAGTACGTGGAGAATTTCTGCTCTTAACACACTGAGATGTAAAGAACAGCACTATTTTTCTATATGCTGTGATTTTTGTAGCACAGACAATGACTCTGCCCCCAAGCCCCCTTGATATTTAAGCACACAGACAGGCTCTCAAACCCCTTAAAACTGTCTGCTGTATTTGCAAATTTGTGCACAAGTTGTGAAAGTTTGGCAACTAAAGAGCAAACCTCTCCATGGATACAGGATCATCCACCCTCCTCTACCCTCCAGTATTTCTTTCTTTTTCAGGACTACTCAAAACACAGCTGGCAAGATGCAGTGTAGCATGGCAGATCCTCTTGCATGAACCTAGCTGGCTCCTCTTTCAGTGATTACCTTAGAACAGGGTTGCAGGAAACATCTTCTTTAGTCTGTTTCTTTCCAAAACCTTCCCAGAATGTGCTCAGAATAACAGAATGGTTGAAGTTGGAAGGGTCCAACACACTTGCTCACGAGCTTCTTTCCTTGCACTAGCAGAAAGGTAGTCTCTCCCCTGCAGCAGATCTACTAAAGGTTGTTGTCTTTCAGCCTGATCCTCAAGTTCAGTTTGCCACTTTCCCAAATCTGTGTCAGTTTGATATTTCCATGCGTTAAGAAAGTGTGGTCCAAAGATTACCCTGGGTGATTCTCAGTGCTCTTCTCACTCGGTCAGACTAGGGCAGTAGGACAGCTGCTGTAGACCTGTGAGCTCTGCAGAGAACACCATGTACTTGAAGTGGAACAGCTTGAAAGAGTAGAAGAAAAATTTCATCAGAAAGCAGAATTTTCCATTTTTCCCCCCTGAGGACCTCCTGTAAGCTGTGAATTTTGTTGCTGTTCAGCTTTTGGGTATAATTTGAGGAATGCCCTTTTATTGTCCTTGTCCACTTACCAGAAGGTACTGAGATGTATTTAGAATTGTGCCAAGTACCTTCCACTGACCCTTGTGGTCAACAGCATTGTAAATCTGCTCTTGAGAAGTAAGGTATGGCTGAAATCCTTATTGGAGGAAACAAAGACTCAGGAAAATCTTCTGAGCAAATAAGAAACTGCCTGATTTGAGAACAGACTTGATCTTCTGTTCTTTAGTTTGAGAAATCTGTCAAAGCAGACCCCCAGGCATGAAAGAACCTGGACCTTTTAACATGGTATTTGAAGCAGTGTATGTAAGGACAATCCCTCACTCAGTTTAGGCTTGGAAGTTGTTTCCCAACAGTGCACTCATCTAATCCTCCCTGTTGTTTGAGTGACTTCGCAGGTTCTGAGCCTAAAAACCATTGATGTGAAGCAAAACCAAAATTTTAGATTTGGTTCATTATCACCAGCACCATTCGTTAGCTGTGCACTGACAGTGGCACTTGCCAGAAAATCTCCACAAAAGCATAAACACTATAGGCAGTATCCTGTGGCAGAAGAAATTTCCAGACAGCAGAGACAGTTTGAGATTATAATCAAGCTATTGCAAACAGTCTGGTTAATGTATTTAAAGAACTGATTGTCCCTTCAGCTAAAACTTGCTTCCTCCTTTGCTCTTGCATCACATTTGACTGTGATCATAATTGTCTGCTGTTTGAAACAAACCCACTGCTGAAT